AGACATAGACTTGGGAACAGGGCTTTTGTTCCTGTTTGCCCTGTATCAGCCAGTTATATGAGCATAGGCAAGACTATCACAATTGGCCCTTCATAGCTACCTCCATGGATTCAGCCAGTTGTAGTTTGAGCTTTTGATTATTAGTGCTCAGGATTGAACTTAGGGCTTTGCCCATACTAGGTAAGCACTGTACCACTGAAACTAAGTCAGTCCTGGGAATATTTTTTATCTATTTACTTCTATTTTATATGCACTAGTGTTTTACCTGTAGGTGTGTCTCTGTGTGTGAGTGTCAGATCTTGGAGTTACAGACAGTGAGTTGCATGTGGGTGCTGGGATTTGAACCCAGGTCCTCTGGAAGAGCAGTCAGTGCCCTTAACCACTGAGCCATCTCTCCAGCCCCGAAAATTGTTTGTTTTTGTTTTAATTATGTCCTATTTTAATTATGAACTATTTTTGTCCAAGATAAGACATTTTTCTTTTCATTTCTCCCTAAACAAAAAATAGAGCAACTATATTATTTCTATTCTATTGGGTACTATAGGTAATTCAGAGGTAAGTGTATGCTAGGATGTACTTGGGTCCTTTGGAGATTATATGCCACTTTTATGTAAGAGACTTGTCTCCAAGGCAGAGTTGTTCATTCATTCCCCAGGACAACGCCCTCTCCCAACCCTTCCTTGAGTCTAAAAGAGACGAGTGTTCCTGCAGGCCTTGCTGTTCTGTTCTCTGCATCGTCTTATCCACCCATGTGGCTGTTTAATCTGTTTGTGGTCCACTAAAGTCAGCTACTAAATTTAGCTGATAAGTGACCCAGGCTGGCCTTGAATTTAGGACCCTTCCACCCTAGCCTCAAGGATCTGGGATTATAGCTACATTGCAGGTGATTGTTTCTGCCCTCACCCGGCTCTGGCAGCTTCACCTTTATTCAACAGTGGAAGAGCGTGTTTTGTTTAGTTTCAGAACAGTCTCACGACATAGCCCTGTCTAGCCTAGAACTCTCTAGCTCCACAAGTGACCCAGACTGGCCTCCTTCACAGAGCCCCATCTGCCTCAGGTGCTGGGATTAATGGTGTGTGCCATCATGACCGGCAAAGAGGGTTCCTTCCCGCCCTGTCCACCACTCCATCTCCTGCCCTGCGTATCAAAGTGTTCACTTTGCCTCAGGCTATGTTATCTATTTGTTCTCATCTCTGTGTTCATTGTTTTAGGAATTTGATTGATTATGGCCAAAAGAAAGGAATGGAACACAGCCTCCTGTTCAACCAGTTCTGCTTTCTGGGCGCTCTTAATGAAACAGGCTGATAAACCCTGTTTAGGGATTCATTTTGTGTATTGCTGTGTGGTATCAGTATATTGCCAAACTTCCCATTCTAGGTACGTGGTACATTTTTCTTAGCCAAAGATTTATTTATTGGGTCTTGCTTTGTAGCTCAGGCTGCCTCAAACTTGTTATTCAGTTGTTGAGGTTTAAAATCTGTTGTCACGCTGGGTGGTGTTGGCGCATACCTTTAATCCCAGCACTCAGGATGCAGAGGTAGTCAGATCTCTGAATTTGAGGCCAGCCTGGTCTACAGAGTGAGTTCCAGGATAGGCTCCAAAGCTACACAGAGAAACCCGGTCGGGGGGTGGGGGGTGGGGTGGGGAGATAGGTTCTCACATCTGCTTCTGGGCACATGGTAAACTAGTCTTGACATTGATGAGGTTACAGAATTGATTTCATTAGTGTAGTTCTGTCAATGTGTTTGGAGGGCTGGTGTGATGTTTTAGAACCAGGTAAAGACACTCATCAACAAGTCAGATGACCTGATTTTGATTTCTGAAACCTACAGAGTGGAGAGAGAGAACTGATTCCCACAGGTTGTTCTCTGAAATCTATGCAAATGCTGTGGTATGCTGGCACTCTCACCCCAAAACACACATACACACACAAAATGTAGATGAAAAAATGTAATTGGAGGTCTGGCAAGATGGCTCAGTGGGTAAAGCACTTGCTACCTAGCCTGATGACCTGAATTGGATCCCCGGAACCCATGAGATGGAAGGTGAGAGCCAACTCCTGAAAGTTGTTCTTTGCCGTTCACAAATGTGCCCCCCACCCATAAATAAATAAATAAATAAATAAATAAATAAATAAATAAATAAATAAATGTACAAGTCAAAAATTGTAACTGGAAGCCAAGCGTGGTGGCGCACGCCTGCCCTCCATGTAAGCTAATGTCACACATATCAGTGTTAGTTGGCTTTGGCTGTGTGCACCCATGCACACTAATTTAGAGACGGGTTTCGCTATGTAGTCTACTGACTTGGGACTCTTGGCAGCCCTCCTTGCCTTAGTCTCCTAATGGTGGGACTGCATGGCTGTACCACCATGCCCAGCTAATTCCAATTTTTTTTTCATCAGTCAAGGACATATTAGGTTATAATGTAGCAAGACCTGAGTTCCCAAAAGGAAACAGTTGCCTAGACAGTGCACCCCTTCCTCCAGGGGAAGGGGCCCACACTACTGTTGGTACTCCACAATCATCAGGCTGCTGTGGTCCACCCCCATTCCTCCTCATCGGCTGGACTGCTGTTAACCTGGCCTCCTGCTACTGTGTGTGTTAGATGTGCAGAAGCATGATATGTGTGTGTGTGTGTGTGTGTGTGTGTGTGTGTGTGTGTGTGTGTGTGTGTGTCAGCCACACTGGTAGAGAAATTTTATTTAATTTTTTCCTTTGAGGGAAGGTGTAGTAAGGGTGCAGGAGATGTGAGTTGAGTAATTATCTACCAGGAAGGCCACTAGTGGTAGTCATTGTAGTCTCCAAATATTCCTGCATTCCTTTGTTTGTTTGTTTGTTTGTTTGTTTGTTTGTTTGTTTGTTTGTTTGTTTGGAGACAGAGTCTCACTGAGTGGTCCAGAATGGACTCAAACTTACAGAAATCTTGCCTCAGCCTCTTCACTGGGATTACAGGTGACTGCGACCATTTCTGGCTGGAAGCTCACTCCTGACCCCTTGTGGTTGAATGAGGCCACATGACTAATTCTGCTCAATTAGTTCTGAGTAGAAGCAGCATGTAAAACATGTAAAGACTGACTTCCATAGTGGAAGCTCCCACCCCACGCCCTCCCCCGTGCTTCGAGAACTAGCATTGATATGTATGGAACTTCTCCGTTGGCCTATGCCCTGTAGTGAAGATGCCACAGAGAAAAGCCTCAATTGACCCCTGAGAAAGGGAAACCAGTGTTCACTGTGTGAAGCTATAGAGATTGCGGGAGGGGGACGTAAAGGCAGCGTTGCTACTGCAATGTAGCAGCCTAGCTGGACCAACACATTGCACACAGAACCTATGGAATTCTGACCTCATCCTAACTGACCTCCTCCAGTGATGCATAAGACGTTAGAGGGGAAAACAGGTTTTAAAAAAATCTCATATAATAACTGTGACAGAAATATTTATATAGGACAGAGACACAGGAAGCTAATTGGAGGTGGGTGTTAATGAAGAGCCTCTTGTGATTTTTTCCCCTGTATTTTCATGTGTGTGATAAGCGAGTGTATCTGTGTGTGTGCTCTTGTGTGGGGTGTGAATATGCATATGCCTTGTATGGTCATAGGACCATCTCACAATGCAGCCTTGTCTATGTAGCTCATGTAGGCCATACATTTTCAATCCCCTTGCCTCTGCTTCTTGAGTAGTAGGGTTACAAGTGTGCACTGGGTCCAGCTAAAATGAAGAGATTTGGGGGCCTGCTGAGTTTGGGAAGAACGTCTCAGTGGTAGGAACACGTGAGCAAAGATATGGCAATGAGCCAAGGCACAGAACGTGTAGAAAACTCCAACCACTGAGTTTTAAATCTGTTAACTAGAGGTTTGAACTATTGCCATCTAGTGGATGCTGAGGAAGAAGGGAATATTGTGCCATATTCAACAGAATGGCGGGGGTGGGAGGAAGAAAAAAATTATTTTCAAATTAACCTAAGGTCCATAAAACTTCAACATTTAGAATAGCATAAGGCTAGCCCATGAACAGACAGTTCAGATAAGCCCTGGGGGCTGGGATGTGGCTCAGTGGGTAAAGGTTCTTTACCCAGCAAGTCTGACCACCCAAATTCTGATCCCAAACACATATACAAGCCCAGAGCAGTAGTAGGTGCTTCTGCGATCCCAAGGCCCAGGAGAACTGAAAGAAGCTAGCTGGCCTGCCTGACCTGGGGTGCACAGTACGAAGAGACCTGGTCTCAAGGTGAAAGGGTAAGGACCAACACCTGAGAGCTGTCCTCTGAGCTCCACAGATGCCATGTGCACAGCTACACCTCGCACAAGGAAACACACACAGACATGCTCACTTACCACACACTCGAAACCACAGAAATGAACAGAAGAAAAGGAGAAAGAAAGAAATGCAGGGGGGAGGGAAAGATGTCTGAAGTTGGATCATAGGCATTTTCATTGCAATGAAGGTGCCACTGATTTCAGAAATCTCCAGAAGCGGGGTGGCAAAATGACTCCAAGGGTAAAGGTACTGCTGCAGAGGCTGGCAGACTGTGTGCAATCCCCAGGAACTACAGGGAAGAAGAAGAGAACCCCAAAATTGTCTTCCGAAATCTACAAGTATGCCATGGTGCATATGTGCTCCAACAGAAAATATGCTTTTTAAAAACTGCCCACCCTGTTTAATGAGGCAATAAGCCTTCCAATTCATTCTTTTATTTCTATAGATCGTTCCAGCACACTCTATAGTTTTTTTATTTCTGTCTGAATCCCATTGCAAAAAGCTTTTAGGGCCAGAAATGGTAGTGCACATCTTTAATTCCAGCACTCAGCAGAGGCAGGTGGATCTCTGTGAGTTCAAAGCCAGCCTGGTCTACAGAGTGAATTCCAGGACAGCCAGGGCTACACAGTAAGACTCTATCTCAAACAAACAAAAATAGAAGTAAATAAATAGTGAGAGTCTGTCTCTGTGGTTGAATACTTGCCTAGCAAGTGCAAGGCTCTGAGTATAGTCCTCAGTACTGAAACAACAGCTTTTTTTTTAAATTAATGTATCCCAAGCATCCAGAATACTGTCTAGCACATAGTAGGTGCTCATTAAATATTTGTTGCATGAACAAATCTCACCTTAGTGATGAAAAGATGTACTATAAATATGATGGTCTCTTCAGCTTTATGGCAATATAAAAATTTATGTGGTGTGCGTGTATGTGTTATATGCATCTTGATGCTGAATCCAGGAACATAGTATGTTTCTCTTTTTGCAGTTAAGAAGGAACTGTGTGTCTATTCATGACTAGCAGTGGTTCCTTCTCTTCTCTTTCTTTCTGTTGCAAGAAAGGCGGTAGTTTATTATAGGAGAGAAAGGGAAGAGGATAAATGTGCCAGGCCAGAGAGCAAGAAGAGAGAGAAGGGCTGAAGCGAGGTGCCATGACCTCCTCTGGGTCTCTAACATAGCACCCCCCTCCCCTAAGTTCCTGTAACACTGGCTTTTCAGAGCATGTTCCCTTGGCTGAATGGAGCTCAGATAGGTCCTGCCTGTGCTTTTTGGTTTTATTTTGAGACATAACCTCACTGGGTAGTACAGGTTACCCTCAAATAAGTAACCCAGGCTGGCCACAAACCCACGGCAATCCTCCTGTCTGAGCTTCCTAGGTGCTGAGATCACAGGAGTGAGCCACCACTCTGTAATCAGAGGCTAAAACGTGCACTTTTTGACAAGTTGTTTTTATTTTACTAAATTCCCAACACACCCAGTCTAGACATTTTACAATTTCTTTGATGATGTGTTATCTTTAAAGTGTGTTTGCTGGCCAGATGCAGTGGCATATATACGCCTTTAGTCCAAGCATTTGGGAGGCAGAGGTCGGTTGGTGGCTTTCTGTGAGTCTGAGGCCAGCCTGATCTACTCAGTTCCAGGGCAGCTAGGGCTACCTAGTGAGACCCTGTTTCACTAATATGATGAAAAGAAAAGAAAAAGTGTTCATTTATAAAAATTTTGAAGTCCCCTCCCCCCAAAAAAAAGTTTTTCTAGGGTTCACTTCAGCAGCATGGTTAGAAAAAAGGAGAGCCCTGACAGAATCATGAAATGGTCTGCAGTTTTTCAGTAAGCTTTTCTGAATGAGATCTAAGCTGGCCTCAAACTCCTGGGTTCAACCAATGCTCCTGCCTCAGCCTCCCGAGTGCTTGACACCACAGGGGCACACTTCCCACCGCTCTTTCGGTGGCCCCTTTGAGCTGGCTTCAACCATCACGCTGCCAAGCCACTGCCTCTTCCTTTGTTCACTCTTTATAACTAAATAACAACCTGGCTATTATTATTATTTTAAATCTCACTTTCCCCACCCTTCCATTCTCCTGGGCAGGTCAGAGCCCAACTTTATTTATTTATTTTTAAAGATTTATTTATTATGTATACAGTGTTCTGCCTGCAGGTATCCCTGCAGGCCAGAAGAGGGCACCAGATCCCATTATAGATGGTTGTGAGCCACCATGTGGTTGCTGGGAATTGAACTCAGGACCTCTGGAAGAGCAGTCAGTGCTCTTAACCTCTGAGCCATCTCTCCAGCCCCCGACTTTATTTTTTAATCACATTTAGTTATTTTTATTGTGTGTATGTGTGTGTGTGGACACCTGCATGAAACTGTGCACACAGAGGTCAGAGGACAACGTGACAGAGCCAGTTCTCTCCTTCCATCTTGTGGCTCTCAGGGATCAAATGCTGATCCTCACTCAGGCTTGGCGGCAAACCCTCTTACCTGCTGAGCATTCCTGCAGGTCCCCAAAGCCTGACTTTAGGTAAACACTTTGAACTTACAAAGAGCTCTTGTGTGCAGCTTCCAGTGATGAGAGAGGATCAAAGCCTGCGATTTTCCCAGAGACCTTCATTGCGGGGCCTGGCCAGCTCACCGTCTTGGCAAACTCTTAGGAAGGTCATTCTCCTCCTGCTTGGGGTAAGGGCGAATGTTTAGAACCCGGGATGTTTCTGCTGGTTTGCAGTCACCGCACGGCCCTGTACATCCTGTTCTGGCCCCCTTCTCCCTTTCCCTGTTGTTAGCCAGCCATCACATTCCTTGATGTCATTCCTGCCATTGTGAGCCGACAGGCCCTCAGGGCTCTGGTGGACATGGTCAACCATAAGCAAGCAGGGAACTGGAGCTGGGGAGGTCGGGGGAGCAGAGGCCCCACCAACACCTTGGAGTTGGGCTGGGTCTGTGTGGAGCCCCAGAGATGTTCCCCAGCCCATCCTTTTTAAGAACCAATGAATAAAATCAGGGGCCTCCCTCCTGCCGTCAGGGACCCGGGCCCTGGAGTGGAACTTGGAGTAGAAGATGGCCTTCTCTGTCAACTAATTCATTCTCCAGAGTTCAACTTGTTCTCTGACTCAGTGGTGTTTGAAAGCACCTTTATCCAGGTACGGTCGTGCATCTCAGGGGTGAGAGTCTTCCCCTTTCCACGGCCTGTTCTCACGGGTTAGTGAGAAGATGAGCACTGACAGTCCTGGGGGCAGGGGGTGGGTGGGGGAGGCACCAAAGCCAGAGTAAACCAGAGGGTCTAGGTCCCAAGGTCACGTCCCTTTGTGTACTGTGAGGGAGTCCCTGCAGACCATGCAGAGTTAAGTAGTACTCTGGTACAAAAAAGGTTTGTTTGGGGGTTTTGTTGTTGTTGTTGTTGTTGATTTGTTTTGAGAGAGCATTTCACTGTGTAGCCTTGGCTGGCCTAAAGCTATGAAGACCAGGCTGGCCTCAAACTCATAGAGATCCTCCAGCCTCTGTCTCCTGAGTGCTGGGATTAAAGGTTTAAGTCACTACACCCGACTTAAGCATCTTTTTAAAAGGTGTTTTTTTTTTTAAGATTTATTTAATTTTTAATTGTGTGTGTCTGTACACATGAGTGCAGTGCCCTGTGAGGTCAGAAGAGGACTTCAGGTCCCCTGGAGCTGGAGTTACAGGTGCTTATAAACTGCCTAACTGGGAGGCTGGCAACTGAGCTCCAGGTTCCCTGAAAGAACAATAAACATTCTTAATGGCGGAGCTGCTTCTTTATCCCTGAAAGGAGCCTCATGGTGTGTGTACAAGGAGCTCCATTCAACCATTATCAATGGTAACTGTCTAAGCAAGCTCTATCTAAGTCCATTTGGATCAGCAATGCATGATCACAGACACCCAGGCATTCTCTCTGGACGCTGGCAGTTGAAAACGGTGTGCCAGACAGCAGGGGTTCCTTCGCCACTCTTTTGGGTATTGCTGAGGTTTTTGGTAAGAAAAGGAGCAGGCAGAGGTGCTGAAAGTACCCAGCTTAAGGTGGAGAGACTGGGCAGAATCAAGGATCTGAGGTCAGGAACCCACCAAAATGAAGTGGAAAAAGCTGGGGAGCTGTCCAGGAGAAGGTGGGTACTTTTCCAGGTGGGTCTGGGAATCAAATCTGAGGCTCTCACAGCAATGAGCTACTGCCCAGCATGGTCTCAGTTTGGGGAGACTATGTTCAGGGTTCCTGATACTCCATTTTCCTGTGCTGCCCCAGGTAGACGCCTCTGTTCCTGCAGATGAGCTAGGAAGCCCGGGGTGAGGGAGCAAGAGTGTGGGATCCAGACCTTTCTAGTCGTCCCTCTTTATGTGTGGTATCTTGGCAGCAGATTTGTCCTCTTGTTTTGTTCTGTGATCTAGCATTGAGGCTATTGAGATTCTCCGACGGGAAACCTCACCCGGCCCGGACACGGACACGATTGACCGATTGATAGCTCTTTCTCGATTCCGTAAAGTAAAGAGAGACTCACCTTTACTTAAAATGATTCACTCCTCAGTTGGTTCCACTTCTTCCCGTCTCCTCTGTCCACTGCCACCCTTGGACCATCCCCAAACAGGACTAGTTCCCAGCATTTATTGAGCACTTCCTAGTAGTGAATACTGTTTTGTGGAAACTGCAGATTCTATTTTATAGCGTGAACCATAAAAAATTTCATTTCTTTTCTCTTCCCCAAATCAGATTTTTTTGTTTGTTTGTTTTTGTTTTTCGAGACAGGGTTTCTCTGCATAGCCCTGGCTGTCCTGGAACTTGCTTTGTAGACCAAGCTGGCCTAGAACTCACAGAGATACACCTGCCTCTGCCTCCCAAGCA